ACAAAAAAAAAAAAAAATGTTTCAACATGCACAACAGATAATCTTTAAGATGCCAGCCATTAAAAAAAAAAATGAAGCTATCAGATTACATAATAGGAGCACAAGGCCAGGAGAAGGCAGAAAAAGTCAAAGCAATTAACTACGGAAGTGTTAAAAAGTCTAATGCACCTACCTGTTTAGCTGCATGCTCGCTCAGGAAGTGTACAGCCCTGGCTCCTTTGTGCACCCCCCTCAATGCCACGCCCAGCCCCTGCCCTACCACCCTGGCTCTGCTGGAAGGAGCCAGGCCTGCACTTCCTTCTTTCTGAACCCCAGTGCAGCTCAGCTGTGAAGAGACTGCATGGAGAGGGGAGGGGATCACCCGGGCTCAGTGATGGACAGATAAGCGCAGCGGCCAGCTGTGCCCACCACAGCGCTACCACCCAGGAGAAAGACCTGACCTCAGGAGGTGGGGGAGGGGCGAGCAGTGAGGTGAGCTCAGGGACTGAACTCCATTACTGTTGCCAGAAACTTTCCTCCAACAGAAGAGAATTTCTTGAGAAAATTCTTAGTTTCAGAGGCACTTTTCTTCTCAGCAGAAGGTGCCTCCTTTCTGATGCAGGAATTATTTCTCAGGTCACACAGATGACAGTTTCCTTGTGAGAACAGAGGTGTCCCTCAAACACAGTCTCTTGCCAAGTATCAGGGAGACAGGCTATGGGTACCGTGTCCTCACAGAAGCTCTGGACAGCACCCACTCTGGGAAGGTTCTGGGCTACTGAGTGTGCCTGAAGGGAGATAACGAGCAGCTGAAGTAGGCAGGGCTGGGGCTCTGGGAACTTTTCTGGTCCTCTTGACCAATTCTAGGACCTTTCATCCCAAAGGACTGACTGTTAACCATGAGCCAGCTCACCACAATCTGGAGTCCCACCCAACGTGTGTTAGACAGCTGCTGGCCAGTGTCTGGTACTGCTCTGCCAGGCCTTCCCTAGGCCCAGTTTCCACTGCCCCTGACCTCTGGAGCAGGCCAGATCTGACAGGCACTCTCACACCTAGTACCTCTCCCTTTCTGGACTTCCCACAGCTAATTAAATGTTTCATGTTTGTCTCTCTGATAACATATAGGCATCCATGAGGCAGGGGTTGTTTACTTTTGTTTAAGATTCTATCTGTAGCTCCCAGCACACATCATTTGTAGAATAGACAAATGAACAAATAAACCAGAGAAAACTCAGAGTGAAAGCTTTGGTGTGAGTAGGTTTGGAGGTCTCTCTTATACACAGAAACAGAACAAGCCTTCTAGTATTTAGGACAGCCTACATGACCTGCTCACACTTATAAGCCTGAAGCCCAAAGACCACAGTCATCACTACAAACTCTGTCCAAATGCTTGAAAGTCATTCTCTGGCTAGCGGGTTATATTAAAGACATGACCTGGTCATCATCCTAAATGACTAACAGAGTGGTATCTGTCTTAGGGGGTACATCTGCCTCCCACAAGGGCCAATCAAGATGATGCACCTGCCGTGTAGGACCTGAGTCTTAACACATGGAGCTGCATATGCATCTGGGTTGGGAGGTGGGCAAGCTGGAAGAGATAGGAAGAGCTGGAGAATCAGTCCATAGGCCAGCCACTGCCATATGCCATTTGGGTGAGTCAGCATATCAGGGGCGCCCTGCATGAGCTATCCCAGGCCACACACAGACCTTCTCAGGGTTAAAAAAAAGTGGTTTTTTTTGTTTTGTTTTTTTTAATAAAAGATTACTACTTCACTTCTGCCTTGTATATCATGCAGCTCTTTCTCATGGCCAATTGGAAACTAGAAACAAACAGGTAAGGGGATTCTAGGAAGGGAAGCGGCAGCCTAGCTGAAAGCCACATAGAGGTCTGTAGGTCAAGTCCGGTTGGTTTCACCAGCTTGCGTGTGAGCCCACTGCTGACAGCCAGTCAGTCTGCTGGGAGCATGCAATGGTGTCTACCTCATTCAGGGTAAGCAGCTGCCATTAGTCCATACCAACCTTTGTTGCTTCTGTGGAACTACTGTGGGTGTTTTCGTGTGTATCTGCAGGTACAGGATGATTAACACCTCCTAGAAAAGCTGTCTTCATCAGCTGGGGGCTAAACACCAGGAACTGCTCTTGGCATTCCGCGACAAACAGGTCGATTGAACTGAAAACTTAGAAACCTTGTACTGTCAGGTTGAAACTGTTCTGGAATGATCTCAGTCCAAAGAACTGTTCATCTGCCATAAAGTATGCTGCTCAGGTACAGCGGAACCTAAGAAGTCACTTGCAGGCCAGGCTGAGAATCCCTCTGTTGACTCTCACTGACCTAGGCACAGTGGACACTTTGAATTCGTGCACTGAAGCAGTGACTGGTTTCCCAAGGACAATGATCACTGCCTTCGAACCCCAACAGGTCAAGACAGAAAGGGACCAGGGCAGTCCTCTGCTCCAAACTGTCCTTTTCCGCTTGGGAACAGTGATATGTGTGGAGTGGAAGCACTCGGCCTGAGAGCGTGCTTACTAGTCGGAACTGCCTCCTTCATGCCTCCCCTTAGTACCAGGCTATTTCCCTAAGGTGTGATCTCCTGGAAATATGACGATGATGCCACAGGGTAACTGGTAACCACTTTACTGATTTATTTCAGTTGTTTTCATTTGCTTCAGATCCATAAGGACAATGTCCACCCCTCAAGCTTTTCTCCACTCTGTAGCTCTTCTACTTCATTATCACCAGATCCTTTCCTAGTTTCCCTGGGGAGCTGCTCAAGGCTCCTTCTGGAATGAGACTTTGCCCCTAGGCTTCATTCTATTTCTATCTCTGTGACAGTTAATACTGTCAGTTTGACAGGATCTAGAAATCACCTAGGCAAGAAGTCTCTGGGTACGCCTGTGAGGGGTTATTTAGGTTGGGTTAACTGAGGTGAGTAAGACCCACCATAAATGTGAGTGGCTCCATTCCCTGGGCTTGGATCCTGGACTGAATAAAAAAGAAAGGGGGACTGGTCAATAGCATTGATCACTCTCTGCTTCCCAACTGCAAATGCAATGTGACCAGCTGCCTCAAGCTCACACCATGTCTTCCCTGCCATGATGGGCTGTACCCTCAAACAGTGAGTCAAAATAAATCCTCCTTCCTCAAGTTGCTCTTGTCAGGGTATTCTATCACAGCAACAGAGAAACAACCAACACAATCATCATCCTGTAGGAGAGTCTGGGAGCCCTTTTAGGGATGGTGCTGAGAACCAAGGCTCCTGTTCAAGGAAGCCACCAGGTTCTAGAAGCTTAAACCCAAAGCCTCTCCCCAAGGTAGAAATCCCAGAAGCTCTAATGCAGCAGAGCCCTAGGAATTATAGGACACTATGGTTATGTCTAATTTTTCTACTTCAGTGCAGCATCAAAGGACAGTGACTACAAATAAGTAATTATACTCATGAAGAGTCATGGCAGCCTTTTCTCTGATGAAGCTAATTAAACTGAAGAAAGAGGTGAGAGGGAGGAAGATTAGAGTCTGGGGACACTTGGGCTAAGAGAGATCACCAGTGTGAGTGAGTCTAACCCTTCTCTGTCAGATGCGGATGCCAAAAGAGCAAGTGGAACTTTGTCCAATGATGCACAACTTGTTAATAGCAGTTGCAGGTTCCCAACTATGGAATGATAGCCAGTATCTTTTTCTTCTTGCTACAACATACAACAGTTAGGACTGACTCAAATAGACCTTCGGGGATCATTTTAGACCATGTGCTCAATGGTTTGTTTCAAGACAAAAACAAAAAAACCCCAGCAAAGTAAAAGCTGAGACTCCATATATTATCTGTGGGACTCCATTATGACTGATGACGAAGTAGTTGTTTCAGAAAACAGCTACTGTTCTCCTGCTGCAGGAGAGCCAGGGCCAGGGCTCTGGCAGGTGGATCCCCCTTGCTGGTAAAAGGAGAGACCTGACTCCAAACCATACCGGTACTGGAAGAATCAGAACTGTTGCAAATGGCTCCACCAAAGCTGAGGTTGATAAAGGGATTCAGTGATTTCTCAGACTGTCACAGGAGACCGAAGAGCAGCATTCTAATTTTTTAAAAAGCCTGTCATTGTTTGCATTCAATGAAATTCCTTTCAAAATCAACTTTCCACATCCCAATTATATTCAACAACATTCTAGCTAACATTTCGGCTGCAATTCAAATTAACTAATGCCCAAAAGAGCCCTAATCGACACGGTTCTGAGCTCAATTGAATACAATCAAAGCTCATGAAATGAAGGGGGAAATGCTTATTTCATGCAAATTCTGAATATCGCTCAAGCTTAATTTTACTGATAATATAAAGGTGGGACATTTCGAACATTACAGTGAATGAAACTTTTAAGCGGTGAGAGTTATTTTATAAAATGCTACCTCTGAAAAGCTGATTGCCAAACAGTATAAAAACGGTTTGAGACATAAATGCCAAGTTCATTTCTATTTCACTTCTGAGGTAACTATCTTTCAAATCGCAACAGCTGGACTATTTAACACAATCTGGTGAATCAAAGTATAGTTCTTCTCTGGTCTCCCAGTGGGACGCCTGCATTAGTCGGTGGCAGCCATCCAACAAATGACGTAGACGATCTGAACTCTGTTTCATTTACCAAAAAAAGGGTAAAAACCACAATCATATTTACCACCTTCAAGGATAGAAAACGGAAAGATTTAAATTTGTCTTT